TCCAATGCATAGGTAATCGTCTTCTTTGGCCTGTCCAAGGAAACCCAAACCTGCAGATGGCGGGCATGCATCCCATCCCCCACCTCCTACGCAGGCAGCCAGCGGGGTGTGCCCCCCCACAGCGTGGGAGTCCTGCGGGAGGCACACGGCCCCCCCCCAGCATGGGCAGCCATTGGGGGCGTGCCCCCCCACCCCGCTGCATGGGCGCTCGGCGGGTGTGCAGCCCCTCTTGTGTGGGCAGCCGGCAGGCGCCCGCTTCCCCCACAGCCGCCATCTTGGCTCCAAGAATTCTCTCCAGACCTTGTGGTAGTGTGGTGGCTTCAATGTACCAGTCTTGAGGCAGGACAGTGTCCAGCATCCATCCTGGGTGAGGGAATCCATTCCTTCCGGCTATGGAAGCCTCATGGAGCTGCAGCAGTTGTTCGGCATGGCACGGGCTCTGCAGGGGGGGTTGAGAGCCACGAGACTCACCCATTTCTCCTTGGGAATCCTTGAATTCCTGTTGTTGAGCCTTGATCTTCACTGAGGGCCAGTCATCAACTGTTTAAGTGTTTAGTTATCAATAAGCCAAAGTCTGTTCAAGGCCATAATGGCCCTGCTTTAAGTGACTCACTGCTCCCGCAGCTCACCACGCTGTCTCTACCTCCGCCACCATCTTGGATCTCCCCAACAACAGCAGCTTTGCTCTATTATGGTGAAAGATACATGAAAAAAACTTAAAAAGGAAAGCCGCATATGGATCAAACTTCATTGGAAACCAGGTGCAATCTTCTAAGAGTCATCTTCCAATGGAGTTCCCTTTGTTGTTGTTAGGTATAGTCAAGTCTACTACAGGATAAGTTTCATTCAACCAGCACTGACCCATTACAACAGATATAAAGTGCTATATCTCCAGGAAGTGTAACAAAGAATGTCCAGGAGTGGGGGTTTTTTGGCAGTTTGCCACCTGGCTCCCTTTGTCTAGCATGCACCAAAATCCCAGATTTTCACATCTATATGAAGCAATTGAAAATATCATTACATGGGTGGTGTGAAACTGGATTACAGTTTTTTTAAAAAAAATACTGCCACCACTCATATGTCAGTTTGATAGACTGGTATACTGGTATGTAGTTTGAAGCTGGAAGTTATGATACCAGTATTTTAAATATCAGCAAGGTCACATATGATGGAGAGGTTCCAATAGAGCATCCAGACTAAGAATCACGACCAGTCATTACTTCTTAAATAATAGTTGCTGCTGCATTTTTGCTGTTGTTAGTTGTTTTTGAGTCAATGATGACTCATAGTGATACTATGAACAATAGCTCTGAACCCTAACCTGTACCATGCTCATCATCTCTAATATACCTGAGCCTATTTGGAGAACAACCACTTGACCAACTGACTGGAAGAGATCTACATTTGTTCCCAATCCAAAGAAAGGTGACCCAACTAAATGTGGAAACTACAGAACAGTGTCATTGATTTCACATGCAAGCAAGATTCTACTGAAGATTATCCAAAAACGATTAGAACAGCACATCAGCAGAGAAC